TGATATGATGATGATGATGATGATGATGAGATGATGAGGATAGGATGATGATGAGGATGAGGATGAGGTGATAATGGACGATGCTGATGATGATGCTGATGATGGATGAAATGATGAGATGATGATGAGATGATGATGATGATGTGATGATGAGGAGGAGGAGGAGGAGGAGGAGGAGGAGGAGGAGGAGGAGGAGGAGGAGGAGGAGGAGGAGGAGGAGGAGGAGATGATGATGATGATGATGCTAGGCTTTCGATTGCGCCCTCGCCTCCGCATAGCAGGAGAAGGAGGAGGAGGAGGGAGGAGGAGGAGGAGGAGGAGGAGGAGGAGGCGGAGGAGGAGGAGGAGGGATGGAGGAGGAGGAGGAGGAGGAGTAGGAGGAGGAGGGAGGAGGAGGAGGAGGAGGATGAGGAGGAGGAGGAGGAGGAGGATGAGGAGGAGGAGGAGGAGGAGGAGGGGAGGGAGGAGGAGGAGGAGGAGGAGGAGGAGGAGGAGGAGGAGGAGGGGAAGGTAGGCGGAGGAGAGAGGATGGCGAGGGGGAGGAGGAGGGGGAGAAGGAGGAGGAGGAGGAGCGGAAGGAGGAGCTAGGAGGAGCTAGGAGGGGGAGGAGGAGGAGGAGGAGGAGGATAGGAGGAGGAGGAGGAGGAGGAGGAGGAGGAGGAGGAGGAGGAGGAGGAGGAAGAGGAGGAGGAGGAGGAGGAGGAGGAGGAGGAGGAGGAGGAGGAGGAGGAGGCCGGGACCGGGACCGAGAGCCGGGACGGGGGGCTGGGGTCGGGGCCAGGGCCGGGGCCGGGGTCGGGACTGAGGAGACCGGAGCCGAAACCAGAACCTGGGCCAGGGCCAACACAGGGACAAGGAGCCGGGGCCAGGGCCGGAACTGGAGCCAGGGCCAGTGCCAGGGCCGTGAGCTGGGGCCGGGGCCGGCGCTGGGGCCGGGCCAGGTTCGGGGCCGGAGCGGGCCGGGAGCCAGGGCCAGGAGGGCCGGGGCTCAGGCCGGGGCCGATGCCGGGACTGGGGGCGGGGATGGGGCCGGGGCCGGGGCCAGCGCTGGTCGGGGCCATGGCCGGGGCCGAGGCCGGGGCTGGGGCCGGGGCCAGGGCCGGGCTGGGTCCAGGGCCAGGGCTGGGGTTAGGGCTGGCCAGGGCCCGGGCCAGGGCCATGGCTGGGGGTGGCCCACCGGAAGCTGCGCCCACAACGCGTTATTCACAATTACATATGGCTGGGCCCTTCGCCAGGATTTTTTGTATTCTCCCGGTGGCCGCGTTTCTCTCACCCTGGGATCTTTTTCTCTCTTTCTCTTGTCGCTGCCCCTTGCTCCTTTCTCCACACTGCCTGCGGCCCCGACGCCAGCGTTGATTGCCGCGCGCGACGATGCTGATCCCAAAGCGCGTTTATCAGCTAGCGTTCTTCTGTTCGTAGGCTTTTTGCTGGGGTCGGCGTCCGCGCCGCTGTCGTGGTTGGGCGCGCACAGAAGCGGCGGCGGCGGCAGCGAGGAGGAGTGATGAAGGAGGAGGGAGGGGGGGAGGGAGGCTGGGGAGGAATGGGGAGCGGAGGAAGGGAGGGATGGGAGAGAGGGGGGGGAGGGAGGGCGGAACACACACCTTGTTAGGTGCTTGCCCACATGAGCTTGAGAACGCCCTCTCGGTCGTAACGGCGACTGGGGGACTGGGGCAGGGGGGCCCAGGTCAACCTTGCAGGGGTCGTGCCATAAACCGACTTTGGGCTCTGGGGCCGACCTCCCCTCTTCTTCCTGCCCCCCCTCAGTCGTCTTACATTTAACCCCAGCTCAGAGGGAGGATGTGCACTTGTGCAAGAACGAGCCAGCGCGCGACATGGAGTTTTTGACCCTGTCCCCTGGTGTGCTCTCGCGCCCTCATCGGGCGGACAGTGACTGAGCATCGTCTGCGCTGCTCGTGGAGTGGGAGCCTGGTCATTTGCCTCGTGCGTGTGGTCGTTTGCTTTTGGCTCTCGACCCTGCCTCTGTCGGCCGTGAGCCCTCGACCTCTTTTTGGCTGCTCCTGGAGTTCTTGACCCTGTCCCTGTCGGCAGGTGGCAGGACCCCGGGCAGCGAGTGTCCTGGGGACTCTAAAGAACGAGGCGAGGATCCGTAGCCGTCTGGGCTGAGGTAGTTTAGGTGCTCCAGGGAGGAGGAGGAGGAGGAGGAGGAGGAGGAGGAGGACGAGGAGGAGGGGGAGGAGAAGGAGGAGGAGGGGAGGAGGAGGAGGAGGAGGTGGAGGAGGAGGAGGAGGAGGAGGAGGAGGAGGGGGAGGGGGAGGTGGAGGGGAGAATGAGGAGGAGGACCAGTGTAGACTCAAGACGCACCAGCGATGTTGCCATAAACCTTCCCTCCAACTCCCTTCTTCATATGTCCCCACAAAGTTTGTGTCACTGTGGGAAGTGCCTCATTCAAATACCTCCGTCTGAGAATCTTCAATCGTGCCGGAAGACCGTTCCTGGGACAGCAATGCCGCGAACCAACGTGATTGTCTCGTCCTGACAATCTTGAATCGTGCCAGAACGCCGTTCTCGGGATATCAACACCGCGAATCAACGTGACTCTTATGTCTACTGTCCTGACAGTGCTAAATCTTGCCAGGGCATCATTCTTGGGACTGCCAATTGACATACGAATTCTTTGAGCTGCTGCAGACTTCTAAGACGAATGCACGAGGTGCTAAGGCAAGAACCACATTTTGGAAATAGTCCGCCCTCCCTCCTTGGGACTGATGCAAGCTTTTCAAGCGAATGGCCTTCCCCCCATCCTCGAAGTGGCTGCGAACTTTTGAGACGCATGTGCGCAGCGCTAAGGCGAGAGCTACGTTTTGAAAAGGACGTGCCCTCCACCCCTGAACAGGTTACAAACTTTGGAGGCGAACGCGGCGGCGCCAAGGCGAGAGCCACGTTTCGAAACAGTTCCGCCCTCTGTTCTTGAACATGTTGCATTTTGTTGTGACGAATGTGCGTGGCGCTAAGGCGGGAGCCAGGTTTTGAAAACGACTCGGTTGCAAATTCCAAGCTTCAGGATCACACATGATGAAGAAGTCTCAGGCCAAACGCTCGGCCCGCCCTACCGACACGTCTGGGGGTGCGATAGGGAGGAGTTGTTTGTTAAGAAAGACAGAGAAGGAAAAGGAGGATGAGGACGAGGGGAAGAGGAGGAGGAGGGGGAGAAGGAGGTGGAGGAGGAGGAGGACGAGGAGAAGGAGGTGGACCGGTTTAAGTCCAAGAGTCGCCAACGATGTTGGAACACACCCTCCCCCTAAGCTCCCTCTTCACAGGCCCCTGCAACGGTTCATTTCCACAGAGGGACCTGCCTCGTTGGAAGACAACTATTTGAAGACCCTGAATCATGCCAAAACATTGTTCTGGGGATTTCAAAGCCACGGATCAACGACCCCGAGTCGTGTTAGAACGCCATTCTTGGGACTTCAGCACCGCGAGTTATCTTAACTGTTACATCCTCATAATCGGGACTCCTTGCAGAACATCATGTCTGGTACGTCGATCATGGGAATCCGTGAGACTCTTGCAAATGTTTAGAACATGTGCGCGGCGCTAAGGCGAGAGCCACATTTTGAAGAGGAACCGCCCTCAATCCGTGAAACTCTTGCAATTGATGAAAACGATTGTGCGCGGCGTTAAGGCGAGAGCCACATTTTGAAAAGGAGCCGCCTTCAATCCGTGAAACTTGTACAAATGTTTAAAACGAATGTGCGCGGCGCTAGAGCGATAGCCACATTTTTAAAACGAGCTGCCCTCAATCCGTGAGACTTTTGCGAATGTTTAGAACGAATGCGCGCGGCGCTAGGGCGAGAACCACATTTTGAAGGGGAACCGCCCTGAATCCGTAAAGTTCTTGCAATGAATGAAATTGGATGTGCGCGGCGCTAAGGGGAGAGCCACATTTTGAAGGGGAACCAGCGTCAGTCCGTGAAACTCTTGCAATTCTTTGTGCAACGAATGTGCGCGGCGCTAAGGCGAGAGCTACATTTTGAAAACGACCCGCCCTCAATCCGTTAAACTTTTGCTTCAAAACGAACGCATGGTGCGCTAAGGCGAGAGCCACATTTGGAAAACCACACGCCCTCAATCCGTGAAACTTTTGCAAATGTTTAGAACGAATGTGCGCGGCGCTACGGCGAGAGCCACATTTCGAAAACGACCCGCCCTCCATCTGTCAAGATGTTGCCAATTTTCAAGCTTCAGGGACATAAGTGGTGAGGAAGTCTTAAGCGAAACGCCTGGCCCGCATTTCAAACTGGCCTCGTGGTGCGACAGGGAGAAGTTATTTATAAGGAAATGGAATGGAGGAGTTCGACGGGCATGGGGGAGGTGGGAAGAAGGTGTGGGAGGGACTGATGAGGGTTACGCGATGAGGGGGTTCTTGGATGCCCCAGGGACTTCATCAGGTCCTATGGTGACTTGGGGAAATTGGCGGGAGCCGGAGGGGTGAATGAGGGAGGTGGGAGGATGAAAGTTCGCTCGGAGATTCGCGTGTGTCCGGCTTCAGGTCATAAGATCCGGTGCTGCCTCCCTCCTCTTCCCTTCTTCGTCCTCACCTCCCCCATCCCATTCCCTTTTTTTGCTCGAATCGGTGGGCCGAGTTACGGCCGCTCTCGCTGGACAGAATCTGACCCGTATGGCTGTTGCCTCTGATCTTCTTCGGTACGCATTCGGTGCGTCGTGGCCTCCTCGCTTGGAGTTAGCTGTGGTAGCGAGACGATTTTTTCTTGGGCTGTCTTCGAGGCACCTTGGGCCATCTTGACGTCCTTGGTTGCCTGCTCGGGCTGTCTCAGAGGTTCTAGGTCAGGGAGGAGGTCACGGGAGGGAGGAGGGAGGGAGGGAGGGAGGGAGGGAGGGAAGAGGAAGGAGTGGAGAGGGGTGGTGGGCGAGGGGCGCAACCAGTAGCGGGCCTCAGCAGGCAGCGGCAGCGGCGGCCTCTGCCGATGCGGCGGGCGCGGGGGCGACGGCGCCGCTGGCGACGAGGGCTGGCGCCGCAG